CTTGTCTGATTTGTTTTTGTTTCTATTTATTTCGTACAGATCTACGTCTCTCTCTCTCTCTCTCTCTCTCTCTCTCTCTCTCTCTCGTAACGACCGCAGGTGTGGTAATTATATAAAAGGTGCTAGATTCATTCCAGTTAATTACACCTCCGGGCGCACTCGAGGTTTTCTCGTGCTAGCATGTCACGTCCAGCATGATAGTCTCTAACGCGAGTGCAGGATAATAGGAGGTATGGGAAGGACTTGATTATTTATCCGGGGCCCCGTTAGAGCCCGCTAATTGGCATCGGAATGTAGAACGGGGGCGCGTTATGCATCCGATATCATCTCCATGTCATCGTAAATCTCGCCGGGTCATAGACGTAGTCGTCGCGCAAATTTTGATCCGCCCGTTGTTTAACGAGCCTCGTGATCAACCGTTCGACCTGATTCTGTTATCTACGGGATAACCATCTGGCTCTCCATCCGCGAGTCTCGCGCGCGCGCGCGCGCGCGCGCGTCCGAGCAATTGCATCTCGACGACGTGACATTGAGAGCGATCGAGTTCCCGTTGCATAGAACGCGAAACTAGGCCGCTCGGCATGCGGCGTGACGCTTTTCCGCAGAGTCGCAAAAATAGTCAATCGTTGATGCTTCCCGAAGTCGTCGCGGCGAATACTCGAGGCAGCTTTAACTCGCCGCCGATTGCGGAGGCCAACATCACGCGACGTATAGTCAAGCACACTCGGCTCTCCCGGAGAAACGGATGAGACGTGCATTGAATTATGGCAGACTCTACCTCTACGGCTACGATTGAATTATACGGACGCGTACAGGCGAAGGTAACTCAAGTAGTGGGCATTTACGAGTCCACCAGTCTCACGGAACGAATGGATCCGAATCTCCATTACTGTAGCTTTGGATTGTCAATGTTGTCAGTCCTCGAGCGAATGCGCACATCAAATAACGGATCGTTATATTCGTTATATTCGCTTCTACTGGTTTCTAGAGGAGCGATAATACCGCGAAGCATTAAAAATACATCGCATGAAAAATACCGCGTTGTCTCGAGATCGACTTCGATTAGGATTAAATTAAGATCGGAATAGTCCTCCATCGGAAAGGTGAATTGGTTGTTGTTTTGGAGTTTCGCGAATAGAACGGAACGTTCGTATTTATCGGGAATCGAAGACACCGATGTGACGTTGGAATCGTCAGCTGATTAGGTAGAACGCTAGAGAGGATACCTTCGTCATTGATCGCGTGGAACGCAAACGTGACCGACGAAGTGCTTAACACTGGAGATATACCGCGATGCTATTTCTTCTAGACGAATGATCGATTCCCAGCCCACGTTGAAACGAAGAAGACACTTTCATACTCCCGTTAATATTTTCAGCAACACGAATAGAATTTCTCTTCTTATTCGTCAATTCGCCATGATTGGATTTAAATAGTTCGAACGACGTTTTTTTCTTTCCATATCATTCCATACCAATTGATTCTGCGAACACGAAAAGCAAGCGAAATTGCATTCGCCACGAGACGATATCTTTGGCATCACGCGATATTTCATGAGACTATCGTCATCCCACCTTCGGCTTGCGATCATCGGTTTTGCACGAGATTGACCTTGATCAAAGTTTCATCGCAGACAAAAACGGTACTGGTAAACGGTTTTCCTCCTTCGCGTTATCATACAATTATTTCTGCCGAAAAATATTCTCATAGAATCTAAATCATGTGAAATCGGATAGGCAAACCGGCAAAAGACAAATGATAATATTTTACGTTATAGTTATAAGATATTTATAAGAAATTTATTTAGAATGTCATAATAGTGTAAGTCGATAAAATCGATATATATCCCGCTTTCGTCTCTCGTGCGTTTATGTTGTCGCACGTTACGTTGTGCGAACGTTATTGGAACACCTACTTGCCCGATATCCATAAATACGTTCCTAAATATACATGCGTTGTAATTATCTGCCTGTGACGCGATAAGTCTTCCTCCTTCGAGAACCGCACGACACGTAGTCTCGTTTTGCGATACGTAATATCGCGGCATTGGAAAAAAAAATCATGCCCGCTATCGCGTATTCGCAAGGAGACACACATTTGCCACCGAGTCGATGCGAAAACGGTAACGCTCGGCGAGATACGGCTTTAGATACGGAGTCAACGATCTTGACGGAAAATAGCACTGCAAATAGTACCGTTGGAGAAAATCGCTGACGATCAATGAGTAAAAGAGTGGTGTTAGCCCGTCGCGGGAAATTGCGCTACGTACATCGATGATGAACCCGCTGACAGAAAGTTTCGCAACATTGCACAAAACTTGCGGTAACGGCATTCGAAAGTAAACGGGCGATTTTCCGTGAAAATGTCGGTGACGTTAGCGTTTTGCATCATCTACATTTACATCTGCGCCTTGAAAGGACAGTTCGCGACAGTTCAGTTTGCAAAATTTACCTCGACGTGAGATTCCCCGGCCCCGAGATCAAAGTTAAACCCCGAGTGCAACCCGCGTCGGGTCACCGTGACCCAGGCTATTACGTTTTCATCCTGTATACGCGCGCGTGTGCCAAGTGCATGTGCATATAAAGTCGATACCTCGTAGCTAGGGGTTCGTTAGGTTACTACACGGAGCGGTTTTTCATTTCTAACGCTTGACGAATAATGAGACAAAGACTTGCGGGAATATCGCTTATCTCGTTGCGCCGATGCCGCCTTGTGTTTTCTAAATTATTATTAAATTGTAACTGAAAAATTATCTCTCCGCAATACAGAAGCGAGTTTATCTATTATATTTCCAATTGAACATACTTCATCTCAAACGAAATATAAAGTTTAATAATTCGAATTTGTCGCAGAGGACTCGTAAAATTCTACATTCTGTTTATTTATATCGTGAGAAAATTAATTAATCATGTACAGGACAATTTTCAGTCATGACATTGAATCAATCAACGACAATCAATCGTTCGTGTTGAGGGACATCGTTAATGTAAAGAATTCGCGACTTGGTGGCGACTTAAGGACGAAATTGTTCAGGTAATAATCCGGGAATTGGCCGGAGCGATAAAGCACGGAACACGTCGGGGAACGTTCCCCGTTGGCCTGACTTCGACGAGAGGCGGTCGATGGAAACCTCCACCTCGGACACAGGATCGCGGAAAGCAATAATAGCGGACGCGCGTATATATGTACGCTCGTATATGTGCTCGTATGTGTGCTGCATGCATGCGGGGATTAC